AGTCCCGCTTCCTCTTCTCCCCGTATGCCCGCAGCCCCCGCTTCAGTGTCTGCACCAGTCGCTCAGTCAGCCCATCGCTCTGTGGGTGGTACCGCGATGTACGCCTGTGCGTGATCCCTGTCTCCTCCAGCAGCTTCTTAAACTCCCCCTGGAACTCTGTCCCTTGGTCTGTGAGGACCTCCGCACATGCCCCAAACCTGCACACCACCTGTTCTTTGAACGCTGCTGCTACATGTCTTGAGCTTTTACTCGGGATCGCTCTCACCTCCAGCCACTTGCTCACATGCTCAACCATGAGCACTATGTACTGCTTCCCTCCCCGGCTCAGCGGCAGCTCCCCCGCGAGATCTAAGGACCATCGGAAGCCTAGTCCTCTGATGGGCAGCGACTGCAGCTCCGCCTTGGCTTGGGAGAGGTTGGCTCGGCTCCTCTGGCATGCCTCACAGCCCTCCACCCACTCCTTCACTTGCCTCCGCATCCCCTCCCACCACCAGCCGGTCTTCAACAGCTGCACCGTCCTCTCGTGCCCAAAGTGCCCCAGCTTGTTGTGGACCTCCTTAATCACCGCTTCTCTCTCCCTCGGGGCCGGCACCAGCTTCCATCCGTCCTCTGTCTGTACCTGCAGCTGCTGCTGGTACCACCTGTAGTGCTGGCCCCTTGCCCTCACTCGTGCGGGCAGTGCTTCGTCCTCTCCCGTCTCTCCCTTCACCCACCGCATGGCCGGTCCGTCCTCCCAGATATCTTCTGGCCCCTTCCCCTCCTTGGCCCCGTTCTGCTCCACCAACCTGGCCAGCATCGTCAAGGTCGCAGTGGGCTCGAGCGGTGGGGGGTTCCGAGAGAGGCCATCTATGTGCTGCAGGGTCTTTCCTGGCCTGTGCCTGATCTTGAAGTCATACTCCTGCAGTTTCATCGCCCATCTTGCATTCCTGCCCGTTAGCCCCGGGGTTGACATCAGCCATGTCAGGGGCTGGTGGTCTGTCACTAAGGTGAATTCCCTCCCCTGCAGGTACACCCTGAAATGTCCCACTGCCCATACGGCTGCCAACCCTTCTCCTATGTAGGAGTTGTACTGTGCCTCGGCCGAGTTGCAGCTTCTGCTCGTGTATGCCACTACCTTCTCCTCTCCTTCCACCTCCTGGCAGAGGATCCCCCCCATTCCTTGGCTGCTCCAGTCGGTGTAGAGTGTGAACGGCTGGTCAGCGGCGGGCAGCTTGAGTACTGTGGCGGTCTTCACTGCTGCCATCAGGTCCTGCAGTGCCCCTTTCTGCGCCTCTCCCCACTCCCACGCCTTGTCCTCTCGCAGCAGCCCATTCAACACCGCTGCTCTCTTGCTGAAGTTGGGCACAAAGCGCCTGTAGTAGCTCAAGAAGCCTAGCACCGCTCTCAGCCCTGACTTGTCCCTTGGCTCCCGCAGCCTGTCTAGGACTTCCACCTTGGCCTGTTGGATCCCTATCTGTCCCCCTTTCACCTCGTACCCCAAATACTGCACTGTCTGTTCCCCCCACTTGCACTTCTTCGGGTGGCAAGTGAGTCCCGCCGCTTCAATCGCCGCTAGGGTCCGCTCCACATCCTCTAGGTGCTGCTGCTCTGTGGTGCTGAAAATCACCACATCATCAATGTAGCAGGCCGCGCACTCCACTCCCCTCAGCACACTGTCCATGACCCTCTGGAACACTGCTGATGCGTTCCGCAATCCAAACGGCATGTACAACCACTCGTACAGCCCGTCTGGCCCATGAAAGGCTGTCTTTCTGACGTCCTCCTCCCGGATCTTGATCTGGTTGAACCCCTGCCGCAGGTCCAGCGTCGTGAAGAACACCCCCTCCGCCAATTTGTCAAAGATCTCCTCCGCCATCGGCATCGGATACCTGTCTGCTACGGTGATTTTGTTGAGTGCCCTGTAGTCTCCACACATCCTCCTGCTCAGCACCTCCCCTGTCAGATCCCTCCTGGCTGCCACCACTGTCGGCGTAGCATACTCGGACTCCGATCTCCTGATCAGCCCCGCTTCCAGCAGCTCCTTGATCTTTTCCTTGCAAATCTCCTCATCTCCCGGCGGCATCTTCCTCCTGCGCTGGAATACTGGCTCAGTGCTGCTCAGCTTCAGCTCCATCTCCTTCACCTTGCACCTCCCCAGTTCCTGCATGGTGAAAGCAAAACACTTCCTGTGCCTGGCGAGCAGCTCCTGCATCGCCTCCCCCCCCTCTTTGCTCATTGCCTCTCCCACCACCCAGCTCTCCTCCTCCTTTTCCCTGCAGCTCCATGCACCCCGTGGCTCCGCCTCAACCCCCCCTTTTTCTTCCGCCTGCCCCCAGCTCACGACCGTCTCCCGCCACATTCGCTGGATCAGCCACCTCATCACGTGGCCATCCATGGCATTCCCCAGGGCCCAGGCGCAGCTGTTGTGTCTTCTCCATACCCCATAGCTAGCTCCCGCTCCAGTGCCGTGGGCTCCTCCCATCTTCCCCTCTTGTGGTCATACACCATCCCTGGCCCAGGCTTCCCCGCCTCCCACTTGTACCCTGCTGCCCCCACATATGCCACCAGCGTGGGCAGAGCCCGCCTTTCCTGCCCCACCTGGTTGCACTGCTCGTGCCTGCTGTAGCTCTTGCGACACACCGGTGCTGGTGTCCGCCCTGGTGCCAATATATCTTGCACCCTCCTCTCTGCCGCTCGCCTCACCCCCTTTATCTCTGCTTGCAGCTGCGCGGCAGGTACCACATTCTGCCAGTACATCCTGAGCCTATGCGCATAGGATCCCATCTTGGCCGCATCACAGCTCACCCCTTCCCCCAGCTGCCCCTTGATTCTGTCCCTCACCAACCGGATTGGCTCCCTGCTATCTCCCTCCAGGTCCAGGTTCTCCAGCAAGTACACCACCCTGCCCTGCCTCTCCTGCAGCCACCCCATAATTCGGAACAGGTCCTCCAGCAACCCTGTCCTGTCATCATCTCCTCCCCTGCCCTTGCCTGCCCAAGACACCCCTTGGCATTCCCACCCTGCCACCAGCAGATCCACCTGCCCCCAGCTCGCCACCGCTGCCTCACTTATCTCTGTCACGTCATGGACCGTCCCCCCCATCGCCCTGCTGATCACTTCCTCACTCAGCAGCTCCGGAAACTCCCCTTGCAACTTCCTGGCATGGTGCTCCGCCATCCTCCTCACCCCGGGGTCCTTCTCCACATATGTCCACCTCTTCACTGCTATCCCATTCCTCACCACTGCGGACAGCCCTGCCCCTATCCCCCCAAACAGCTCCACCAGGTGGATGGGCTGCTGCCAGTCACTCTGCTCCTGTGGCTTGTCCATCCCCCTCATCTTGGGCGCCCTTCCCATCCCTGACAGCCCCCCCGGCTCCCCCTACCGCCGTTCCCCCACGGCCTGATATGCTCTCTTCGGCTCCACCTTCACAAATCGCACTGGCAGCTCTCCAAGCGGCCCTCCCCTTTTCCAGTACCTGGTCCTGAACTCGACCTTCTCCGTCCACGTGCATATGGTCATCCCCACCGCATACACCAGCTCGGTTCCCACTAACACGTCAAAGTCCTCCGACTCGGAAATCCCGCACTTCATGCGGATCTTAGTCTCGTGTTCCCCCCCCGGCATCAGCGTTACTTCTATGGGCGTCCGCGTACACGGCATCCACTTCGGCTCCCCTCCCTCCGCTGTCATCACTAGCATCCCCTTCGCCACGTGCCTCTCTGGCACCAGCAATCCCAGCCTCTCAGCCATCCCCTTGCCCAGCATCACGCTCTGTGCCCCCGTGTCTATGATGGCCGTCCTCACCTTCTCTCCCTCCACCTCCATGGCTCCCTTCTCGACCAGCAGCACCGAGGTCTGGCACGCCAGCCTCTCTTGAGGATGGCGCGCGGGGGCCGGCTCTAGGGCTGGTTCGGCTGGCTTCCCTCCCTTCACCTGTTCCTTCCTCCCCTGCTCCCGCCTGCCATCTCTGCCTCCGCTTCTCAACCCCATCTCTTCCCTCCCCCTCCACGCCATGAGAGCGCACTGCACATCCTGCTCCACCTCCTCTCCTCCCCCGTCCCCCGCGTACATCCCTGCCTCCGCCTCCCCCTTCAGCCCGGTCGCCCTTAGCTGTGCCTGCAACCTGCTAATCTGCCGCTGCAGCTCCTCTGGAGGCCTCCTACCACCCCCTTCCCTCTGGTAGCAATCCCTCGCCTCATGTCCTTGCCTCTTGCAGATCTCGCACCTGGGTGCCTCTGGGCACTCCCGCTTCCTGTGCCCCGGCTTCCCACACCCGTCACAATTCTTGCAATCCCTGCGCAGATGTCCTGGCTGTCCGCACCTGTGGCATGTCCTGGTGTCTGTCCCTGTCTCCCCCCGTCCCTCTGTCCTCCCTCCTCCTCCTGGTATCATTGCCGCCGCCCATGTGGGCCGCCTGCTCCTCTCCGCTGGCCTGGGGAGATACGCCTCAAACTTCCGCTGTGCCAGCTCCACTCTCTCTGCCAGAGCGAACACCTCCTCTAGACTTGCGTCTGCCCCCAGCTCGTACACTCTCATCCTCAGCCCCCCTCCCAAGGCCTCGTCCAGGCCCCCTAGGAACTTGCTGATGAGAAGACTTCCGTCCGTGCACCTCACGTCCTCCGCCACATTGAGCAGCCTGTTGTATTAGGTCAGCAGTGACTCAGTCCTACCCCTGCTGAATTCCTGGAACTCCCGTATGCGCTCCGCCGTGTGCCCTGGGAACTGCCGCTGCAACCGCTCAAAAAAGGCCTCGGTGGGATCCTCGCCGTACCTCCCCGCCCTCCACAGCAGCTCCTCCATCCTCATGCGGTAGAGCGTCTCGGCCTCTCCCTCCAGGGTGTTCGGCAGGCTCAAGAAGAAGTCCACTGGGTCCATGTGATGCCGGTCGCAGCGGTACCGCACATTCCCCACCTGCATGAGGTAGTTCTTGAGGGTCGGCCCTGCTCGTTGGTCGCATGAGAATCTGGCGGGCACCTCCACCCGCGGGGTGCCGGTGCCACCCCCCCGCCCCTCTCCCCATGATTCCCTGGCCCCGTCTGTCCGCCTTCCCTCTGGTCCCCTCTCCCGTGCCCTTTGCATGCCCTCTCTGGCCTCCCGTGCCCGCTCTGCTCCCTGCGCCAAGGTTCCGCTCCCTGTCCTGCCCTCTTGACGGCTCCCTCCGGACTCGTTCCGCCTCTCCCACGATCCTCCCCGCCCTTCTGTCCGTCCCCACTGCGGCGTCGGCGGCACGCGCGCCTCCCGCTCCTCCCACCTGCCCGTCTCGTGCCGCGGCCGCCTCTCTGGTGATGGTGACCACGTGTCCAGGTGCTCCTGCCAAGTGCGCGGCTGGCGCCGTTCTGGTGACCGCTGCTCCCCGTCGTGCCTCTCCCTCCGCGCGTGACGTCCAGCGGGCGAGCGGGACCAACTCCTGTCTCTCCGCTCCCTCTGCCCCGTCCCTCCTGCCGAGCGCCTGATGCTGCTGCGCCCCCCTTGCTGCTGACCGTGCTGCTTCGGCGACGCAGGTTCCGCTACCTGCCTCCTGTCACCCCGCGGCTGCCATCGTCCCGCCGAATGCGCGGCGCCGCCGCTCCACTCCCCATGTTCCTGGCGCTCGCCGTGCGGGCGGAACTCGCCCACGCGCCACTCCTCGCGGCGCCGCTCCCTCTCCGGCGAGCGTGACCTCTCCGCCTTCCCCTTGCGGCGCGGGCTCGGTGCCTGCCCCGCTCGATCGTCTCTTCCCGGCGTCCCCCGCTCCCGCAGTCTGGAGTCCGCCGCGTGCCGGCCCCCCCCGTGGGGACCCCCTCGCTCGCGCGCTCCCGACAGCAGGGCCTCCGACCTTGCAGCTGCCGCCTCACTCGTCTCTGCCTGTCCCTCCGCCGGCGTGGTTTCCGCTTCGCTGGTTCCCCCTGGCTGCGCCTCATTCGCCCCTTCCACATCCGCCTCCTTGTATGGCCCCTCTGGTTCCTGTGGTACATTGCGCCCCGAGTCTATTCCGTGCGCGTCGATCCCGCCCTCTCGCTCTCGTCCACGGGATCGTTCCGCGAAACCTAGCCAACGCCCTCGCTCATCGCGGCGCCGTACGCGCTCTTCCGGCGAGTGGAACGTCCCGGTGCCGCGGTGACTCCCGCCCGTTCCGCGTACGTTCTCTCGCGGCCACGCCTCTCGATCAGCACGATTGACGCGTCCTCCACCGCTCGCGCGTGCATCCGTCGCTCGTCCGTCACTCACAGCCGGAACCCGATCCGCGCGGAAAGCGGGGCGGCGCGGCGACCGCTCCCAGGATCGCCCACGTTCTCGGGACGGTTCGCGACGCTCTCGCTCTTCCTCCCGTCGGCTATACGCCCTACCCCAACGCAGTTCGTGCTTATCCATCTCGTTCGAGCCTAGCCTCCGTACGCGCCTTTCTAGTGTGTAATGAAAGGGTGAGTGAGTGAGGCTGGGCACAAGGGAACAGGAAGAAAGGGGAGACCAGGCAGGAGCAGGACCAGGACAGGAAGAAGAGCAAGTGCAGGATGAAGAGCAGGACCAGGACAGGAAGAAGAGCAAGTGCAGGATGAAGAGCAGGACCAGGACAGGAAGAAGAGCAAGTGCAGGATGAGGAGCAGGGGCAAGAAGAAGAGCAGGTGCAGGATGAAGAAGAAGGTTCTCCGACACAGTTGGTCCTACCGATCCACTGGTCTAACGTGCCAGATGGTCCAACCGGTCCATTGTATCAACAGGACAGTTGTTCCAACCAGTCCACTTGTCCAACAGGCCAGTTGGTCCAAACATTCCACTGGAACAACAAGACACTTGGTCCAACCGGTCCATTGTATTAACGGGACAGTTGGTCCAACCGATCCATTGGTCCGACAGGCGAGTTGGTCCAACCGGTCCATTTGATCAAAGGGACAGATGGTCCAACTAGTCCACTAATCCAACCGGCCAGTTGGTCCAACCGGTCCACTGGACCAACAGGCCAGTTGGTCCTACCGGTCTACTGGTCCAACAGGCCAGTTGGTCCAACCTGTCCATTGTTTCAACGGGACAGTTGGGCCAACCGGTCCATTGGTCCGACAGGCCAGTTAGTCCAACCGGTCCACTGGACCGACAGGCCAGTTGGTCCTACCGGTCCGCTGGTCCAACATGCTAGTTGGTCCAACCGGTCCATTGTTTCAATGGGACAGTTGGTCCAACCGGTCCATTGGTCCGACAGGCCAGTTAGTCCAACCGGTCCACTGGACCGACAGGCCAGTTGGTCCTACCGGTCCACTGGTCCAACAGGCCAGTTGGTCCAGCCGGTCCATTGTATCAACGGGACAGTTGGTCCAACCGGTCCACTGGTCGAACAAGCCAGTTGGTCCAACTGGGCCACTGGACGAACACGCCAGTTGGTCCTACCGGTCCACTGGTCCAACAGGCCAGTTCGTCCAACCGGTCCATTGGTCTAACAGGCCAGTTGGTCCAACCGGTCCACTGGACCGAGAGGCCAGTTGGTCCTACCGGTCCACTGGTCCAACATGCCAGTTGGTCCAACCAGACCAATGTTCCAACGGGACAGTTGGTCCAACCGGTCCATTGGACCGACAGGCCAGTTGGTCCAACCGGTCCATTGTATCAACGGGACAGTTGGTCAAACTGGTCCATTCGTCCGACAGGCCAGTTGGTCCAACCGGTCCACAGGACCGACAAGGCAGTTGGACCTACCGGACCACTGGTCCAACAGGCCAGATGGTCCAACCGGTCCATTGTATCAACGAGACAGTTGGTCCAGTCGATCCATTGGTCCGAGAGGCCAGTTGGTCCAACCGGTCCACTGGACCGATAGGCCAATTGGTCCTACCAGTCCATTGGACCGATAGGCCAGTTGGTCCAACCGGTCCATTCTATCAACGAGACAGTTGGTCCAACCGATCCATTGGTCCAACATGCCAGTTGGTCCAACCGGTCCACTAGACCGATAGGCCAGTTGGTCCTACCGGTCCACTGGTCCAACATTCCAGTTAGTCCAACCGGTCCATCCTATCATAGGGACAGATGGTCCAACTGGTCCACTAATCCAACAGGCCAGTTGGTCCAACCGGACCACTAGACCAACAGGCCAGTTAGTCCTACCGGTCCACTGGTCCAACAGGCCAGTTGGTCCAACCGGTCCATTTTTTCGAAGGGACAGATGGTCCAACTGGTCCACTAATCCAACAGGCCAGTTGGTCCAACCGGTCCACTGGACCAACAGGCCAGTTGGTCCTACCGGTCCACTGGTCCAACAGGCCAGTTGGTCCCACCAGTCCATTGTTTCAACGGGACAGTTGGTCCAACCGGTCCATTGGTCCGACAGGCCAGTTGGTCCCACCGGTCCACTGGACCAACAGGCCAGTTGGTCCTACCGGTCCACTGGTCCAACAGGCCAGTTGGTCCCACCAGTCCATTGTTTCAACGGGACAGTTGATCCAACCGGTCCACTAGACCGACAGGTTAGTTGGTCCAACCGGTCCACTTGTCCAACACGACAGTCGGTCCAACTGGTCCACTGGACTGACAGGCCACTTGGTCCTACCGGTCCACTGGTCCAACAGGCCAGTTGGTCCAACCGGTCCATTTTGTCAAAGGGACAGATGGTCCAACAGGTCCACTAATCCAACAGGCCATTTGGACCAACCGGTCCACTGGTCCAACAGGCCAGTTGGTCCAACCGGTCCATTGTATCAACGAGACAGTTGGTCCAACCGATCCATTGGTCCGACATGCCAGTTGGTCCAATCGGTCCACTAGACCGATAGGCCAGTTGGTCCTACCGGTCCACTGGTCCAACAGGTCAGTTGGTCCAACCGGTCCATTTTATCGAAGGGACAGATGGTCCAACTGGTCCACTAATCCAACAGGCCAGTTGGTCCAACCGTTCCACTGGACCAACAGGCCAATTGGTCCTACCGGTCCACAGGACCGACAAGGCAGTTGGACCTACCGGACCACTGGTCCAACAGGCCAGATGGTCCAACCGGTCCATTGTATCAACGAGACAGTTGGTCCAGTCGATCCATTGGTCCGAGAGGCCAGTTGGTCCAACCGGTCCACTGGACCGATAGGCCAGTTGGTCCTACCAGTCCATTGGACCGATAGGCCAGTTGGTCCAACCGGTCCATTCTATCAACGAGACAGTTGGTCCAACCGATCCATTGGTCCAACATGCCAGTTGGTCCAACCGGTCCACTAGACCGATAGGCCAGTTGGTCCTACCGGTCCACTGGTCCAACATTCCAGTTAGTCCAACCGGTCCATCCTATCATAGGGACAGATGGTCCAACTGGTCCACTAATCCAACAGGCCAGTTGGTCCAACCGGACCACTAGACCAACAGGCCAGTTAGTCCTACCGGTCCACTGGTCCAACAGGCCAGTTGGTCCAACCGGTCCATTTTTTCGAAGGGACAGATGGTCCAACTGGTCCACTAATCCAACAGGCCAGTTGGTCCAATCGGTCCACTGGACCAACAGGCCAGTTGGTCCTACCGGTCCACTGGTCCAACAGGCCAGTTGGTCCCACCAGTCCATTGTTTCAACGGGACAGTTGGTCCAACCGGTCCATTGGTCCGACAGGCCAGTTGGTCCCACCGGTCCACTGGACCAACAGGCCAGTTGGTCCTACCGGTCCACTGGTCCAACAGGCCAGTTGGTCCCACCAGTCCATTGTTTCAACGGGACAGTTGGTCCAACCGGTCCACTAGACCGACAGGTTAGTTGGTCCAACCGGTCCACTTGTCCAACACGACAGTCGGTCCAACTGGTCCACTGGACTGACAGGCCACTTGGTCCTACCGGTCCACTGGTCCAATAGGCCAGTTGGTCCAACCGGTCCACTGGACCAACAGGCCAGTTGGTCCTTCCGGTCCACTGGTCCAACAGGCCAGTTGGTCCCACCAGTCCATTGTTTCAACGGGACAGTTGGTCCAACCGGTCCACTAGACCGACAGGTTAGTTGGTCCAACCGGTCCACTTCTCCAACACGACAGTCGGTCCAACTGGTCCACTGGACTGACAGGCCACTTGGTCCTACCGGTCCACTGGTCCAACAGGCCAGTTGGTCCAACCGGTCCATTTTGTCAAAGGGACAGATGGTCCAACAGGTCCACTAATCCAACAGGCCATTTGGACCAACCGGTCCACTGGTCCAACAGGCCAGTTGGTCCAACCGGTCCATTGTATCAACGAGACAGTTGGTCCAACCGATCCATTGGTCCGACATGCCAGTTGGTCCAATCGGTCCACTAGACCGATAGGCCAGTTGGTCCTACCGGTCCACTGGTCCAACAGGTCAGTTGGTCCAACCGGTCCATTTTATCGAAGGGACAGATGGTCCAACTGGTCCACTAATCCAACAGGCCAGTTGGTCCAACCGTTCCACTGGACCAACAGGCCAATTGGTCCTACCGGTCCACAGGACCGACAAGGCAGTTGGACCTACTGGACCACTGGTCCAACAGGCCAGATGGTCCAACCGGTCCATTGTATCAACGAGACAGTTGGTCCAGTCGATCCATTGGTCCGAGAGGCCAGTTGGTCCAACCGGTCCACTGGACCGATAGGCCAGTTGGTCCTACCAGTCCATTGGACCGATAGGCCAGTTGGTCCAACCGGTCCATTCTATCAACGAGACAGTTGGTCCAACCGATCCATTGGTCCAACATGCCAGTTGGTCCAACCGGTCCACTAGACCGATAGGCCAGTTGGTCCTACCGGTCCACTGGTCCAACATTCCAGTTAGTCCAACCGGTCCATCCTATCATAGGGACAGATGGTCCAACTGGTCCACTAATCCAACAGGCCAGTTGGTCCAACCGGACCACTAGACCAACAGGCCAGTTAGTCCTACCGGTCCACTGGTCCAACAGGCCAGTTGGTCCAACCGGTCCATTTTTTCGAAGGGACAGATGGTCCAACTGGTCCACTAATCCAACAGGCCAGTTGGTCCAACCGGTCCACTGGACCAACAGGCCAGTTGGTCCTACCGGTCCACTGGTCCAACAGGCCAGTTGGTCCCACCAGTCCATTGTTTCAACGGGACAGTTGGTCCAACCGGTCCATTGGTCCGACAGGCCAGTTGGTCCCACCGGTCCACTGGACCAACAGGCCAGTTGGTCCTACCGGTCCACTGGTCCAACAGGCCAGTTGGTCCCACCAGTCCATTGTTTCAACGGGACAGTTGGTCCAACCGGTCCACTAGACCGACAGGTTAGTTGGTCCAACCGGTCCACTTGTCCAACACGACAGTCGGTCCAACTGGTCCACTGGACTGACAGGCCACTTGGTCCTACCGGTCCACTGGTCCAATAGGCCAGTTGGTCCAACCGGTCCACTGGACCAACAGGCCAGTTGGTCCTTCCGGTCCACTGGTCCAACAGGCCAGTTGGTCCCACCAGTCCATTGTTTCAACGGGACAGTTGGTCCAACCGGTCCACTAGACCGACAGGTTAGTTGGTCCAACCGGTCCACTTCTCCAACACGACAGTCGGTCCAACTGGTCCACTGGACTGACAGGCCACTTGGTCCTACCGGTCCACTGGTCCAACAGGCCAGTTGGTCCAACCGGTCCATTTTGTCAAAGGGACAGATGGTCCAACAGGTCCACTAATCCAACAGGCCATTTGGACCAACCGGTCCACTGGTCCAACAGGCCAGTTGGTCCAACCGGTCCATTGTATCAACGAGACAGTTGGTCCAACCGATCCATTGGTCCGACATGCCAGTTGGTCCAATCGGTCCACTAGACCGATAGGCCAGTTGGTCCTACCGGTCCACTGGTCCAACAGGTCAGTTGGTCCAACCGGTCCATTTTATCGAAGGGACAGATGGTCCAACTGGTCCACTAATCCAACAGGCCAGTTGGTCCAACCGTTCCACTGGACCAACAGGCCAATTGGTCCTACCGGTCCACTGGTCCAACAGGCCAGTTGGTCCAACCAATCCATTGTTTCAACGGGACAGTTGGTCCAACCGGTCCATTGGTCCGATAAGCCAGTTAGTCCAACCGGTCCACTGGACCGACAGGCCAGTTGGTCCTACCGGTCCGCTGGTCCAACATGCTAGTTGGTCCAACCGGTCCATTGTTTCAACGGGGCAGTTGGTCCAACCGGTCCATTGGACCGACAGGCCAGTTGGTCCTACCGGTCCATTGGACCGATAGGTCTGTTGGTCCAACCGGTCCATTGTATCAACGGGACAGTTGGTCAAACCGGTCCATTGGTCCGACAAGCCAGTTGGTCCAATAGGTCCACTGGACCGACAAGGCAGTTGGACCTACCGGTCCACTAGTCCAACAGGCCAGATGGTCCAACCGGTCCATTGTATCAACGGGACAGTTGGTCCAACCGGTCCACTAGTCCATTAGGCCAGTTGGTCCAACCGGTCCACTGGAACGTCAGGCCACTTGGTCCTACCGATCCACTGGTCCAACAGGCTAGTTGGTCCAACCGGTCCATTGTATCAACGAGAAAGTTGGTCCAACCGATCCATTGGTCTGACAGGCCAGTTGGTCCAACCGGTCCACTGGACCGATAGGCCAGTTGGTCCTACCGGTCCATTGGACCGATAGGCCAGTTGGTCCAACCGGTCCACTGGACCAACAGGCCAGTTGGTCCTACCGGTCCACTGGTCCAATAGGCCAGTTGGTCCAACCTGTCCATTGTATCAACAGGACAGTTGGTCCAACTGGTCCACTGGACCGACAGGCCGGTTGGTCCACCCGGTCCACTGGTTCAACTGGCTAGTTGGTCCAACCGGTCCTCACGTACCCCTCTGCCGTCTCCCACCGCACCTGCCCCTTCAGGGGGTGTGACTTGCTCTAGCTATGTGCTGCAGGCAGTTAAGGGGGTGTGTCGCGATATATATTTATATATGTTTATAACTGCCTGTAGCTTTAGCTTTAGTGTAGTTATGTTTCTTTGTTGTGGTGGTGCACCTCTTTGTTTCTTTGCTATATGTTCTTGCAAACCTATAGTGAAGAAACACATTCTCGATTCTCTCTTGGCACAACTCCCTCGACACCCGCTTGGCCTAGGCTACTAAGCCTAGGCCCTTAGTTAAACCCGTTCCTAGCTAAGTTCGTCTCGTGACATGGTAACAGAGTGGTCCGTCCTAGGACCTATTTCGTTTATGGGCCCACCACATTTCGCGACTGCTACAGTTAGTGGCGCGAAATCCGCACCTTGCGTATCTTTTTTTTTTCCCTGCTGCTCGCGCTGCCCCCCGTCGCCTGCCTCGTCGCGGCTCTCAGCGCGACGGGCGCGGCGGACGCTATGGCGAACGCCAGCGGACCCGCCGCCAGCGACCCGCCAGCGAAGTCGCCAGCGAAGTCGCCAGCGGCCCGCGATCGCGTTTGCGCCATCGACTGCAGCCAGCGCCACCTTGCACCTCGCCCGTCGCACCGGCGGTCGCTGTGGGGGGGAGAGGGAAGAAGGGATGGGAGTGGCGGCGGAACTCTGTGGGGGCGAGAGGGAAGAGGGGATAGGAGTGACGGGGGAACGCCAGCGACGATCGCCAGAGCACTGGCGATCGCCCCAGCCGCTCATTCGCCCGCTCTGCCCGTCGCATTCCCCCCGCCCCCTGCCCGTCACCCCCCCCCCCCCCGTCGCGACTGTTTGCGTGTGCAGCGGCGGTCGCCATGGGGAGGAGAGGGAGGAGGGGAAGGGAGTGGCGGTGGGACGCTGTGGAAAGGAGAGAGAGGAGGGGAAGGGAGTGGTGGCGGAACAGCACCAGCGCCAGCCGCCAGCACCAGGAACCAGCACCAGCGCCAGCCGCCAGCACCAGGAACCAGCCCCAGCGCCAGCCGCCAGCACCAGGAACCAGCCCCAGCGCCAGCCGCCAGCACCAGGAACCAGCCCCAGCGCCAGCCGCCAGCACCAGGAACCAGCCCCAGCGCCAGCCGCCAGCACCAGGAACCAGCCCCAGCGCCAGTCGCCAGCACCAGGAACCAGCCCCAGCGCCGGCCGCCAGCACCAGGAACCAGCCCCAGTGCCAGCCGCCAGCACCAGGAACCAGCACCAGCGCCAGCCGCCAGCACCAGGAACCAGCCCCAGCGCCAGCCGCCAGCATCAGGAACCAGCCCCAGTGCCAGCTGCCAGCACCAGGAACCAGCACCAGCGCCAGCCGCCAGCACCAGCACCAGCAACCCCACCTGTGACCAGCAGCCCCACCTGTGACCAGCAGCCCCACCTGTGACCAGCAGCCCCACCTATGACCAGCAGCCCCACCTGTGACCAGCAGCCCCACCTGTGACCAGCAGCCCCACCTGTGACCAGCAGCCCCACCTGTGACCAGCAGCCCTACCTGTGACCAGCAGCCCCACCTGTGACCAGCAGCCCCACCTGTGACCAGCAGCCCCACCTGTGACCAGCAGCCCCACCTGTGACCAGCAGCCCCACCTGTGACCAGCAGCCCCACCTGTGCCCAGCAGCCCACCTGTGAAAGACTGTACAGGGACCATCGTGGGTTGGGAGAGGTATGGAGGAAGACAGGGGTGGAGGGAGTGCGGTTCCAGGGGGCGACTGAAATGGGGGGTGAGGTTGAGGGCGGGTGGTTGGTTGGGGGTGGGGATGTGGGGGTTAGTAAGAGGGGACGCTGCGGCCACCCCCCCACCTCTTCTCCTCATCCCCCACTCAACCCCCCCTTTCGTAAAAGGGGGTTAGTAAGAGGGGACGCTGCGGCCACCCCCCACCTCCTCTCCTCATCCCCCACTCACCTCCTCCTGTGTTCTTATCTATTCTCCTCTCCTCTCTTCCTCTTGCCTCCTCCTCCTCACGTACCCCTCTGCCGTCTCCCACCGCACCTGCCCCTTCAGGGGGTGTGACTTGCTCTAGCTATGTGCTGCAGGCAGTTAAGGGGGTGTGTCGCGATATATATTTATATATGTTTATAACTGCCTGTAGCTTTAGCTTTAGTGTAGTTATGTTTCTTTGTTGTGGTGGTGCACCTCTTTGTTTCTTTGCTATATGTTCTTGCAAACCTATAGTGAAGAAACACATTCTCGATTCTCTCTTGGCACAACTCCCTCGACACCCGCTTGGCCTAGGCTACTAAGCCTAGGCCCTTAGTTAAACCCGTTCCTAGCTAAGTTCGTCTCGTGACATGTATCAACAGGACAGTTGGTCCAACTGGTCCACTGGACCGACAGGTCGGTTGGTCCACCCGGTCCACTGGTTCAACAGGCTAGTTGGTCCAACCGGTCCACTGGACCGACAGGTTAGTTGGTCCAACCGGTCCACTGGTCCAACACGACTGTCGGTCCAACCGGTCCACTGGACCGACAGGCCAGTTGGTCCTACCGTTCCATTGGACCGATAGGCCAGTTGGTCTGTATCAACAGGACAGTTGGTCCAACCGGTCCACTGGTCCAACAGGCCAGTTGGTCTAACCGGTCCACTGGACCGACAGGCCAGTTGGTCCTACCGGTCAACTGGTCCAACAGGCCAGTTGGTCCAACTGGTCCGGTGTATCAAAGAGACAGTTGGTCCAACCGGTCCACTGGTCCAACAGGCCAGTTGGTCCTACCGATCCATTGGACCGATAGGCCAGTTAGTCCAACCGGTCCACTGGACCGACAGGCCAGTTGGTCCTACAGGTCCGCTGGTCCAACATGCTAGTTGGTCCAACTGGTCCATTGTTTCAACGGGATAGTTGGTCCAACCGGTCCATTGGACTGACAGGCCAGTTGGTCCTACCGGTCCATTGGACCGACATGTCTGTTGGTCCAACCGGTCCATTGTATCAACGGGACAGTTGGTCAAACCGGTCCATTGGTCCGACAGGCCAGTTGGTCCAATAGGTCCACTGGACCGACAAGGCAGTTGGACCTACCGGTCCACTGGTCCAACAGGCCAGATGGTCCAACCGGTCCATTGTATCAACGGGACAGTTGGTCCAACCGGTCCACTGGTCCATTAGGCGAGTTGGTCCAACCGGTCCACTGGAACGACTGTCACCGCATATGTACCTAATGCATATGCAATAACAGTAGGATGATGGTGTAGGAAGGGCTCTCGGTTGCAACCATGAATAGGATAGATAGTTCTAATAGTATGAGATAGGAATGAGCTGTAGGTCTAAATGGTAGCGAAGCAGCTGTTAGAGAGGGGTGTAGAAAGGGGGGGGGAAACGGGATAGGAGCGGTTGGATTAGGAGGGAAAAGACACCGAAGGGCGAAAGGTGAAACCAAGGAATCCTAACCCGAGCCGCACATTTGGAAATGTGCAGCCAGGGGAAGGGTAAGGTCTCTCACTCCCAACCCCTCGTTGCTTTTCTACTGTTATTCTCTCATATTAGTGAAAGCTGTTACCTTAGATCTAGCATCCGGTGGCACGCCACTAGGGGAGGACCTACGGGGTGAGGGAGGAGACTCTTTCATAACAATAGAAAAGCCAGACTGCCACGAACTGCGCTGGCAGCGGACGTACTCGCGTCGGGAAATACCACCGTCTCGGAGGATGCGCTCGCAGGAGCGAGGAAGATCGCCGGAGTGGTCGCCAAGGAGGGCGGCGGACCGCGCGGATCTTCACGTTGAAGGGCGTCGATGTGGAGGCGAGGACGATCTGCACGCGGGATCGGAGCATAGGCCTCAACCGTCCAGCAGCGGCCCTTGGAATCTGGCATGCGGCCAGCAAGGAGAGGGTGGAAGGCGTCGCGACGACGCGGACGTGGTGGACTCGTCGGATTCGGCAAGCGAGGCCGACGGCGAGGAAGAAGCAAATGAGATCTTGGCGGCGCGGAAAACTCGCTCGCCGGTAGGGATGCGCGGAGGCGGCGCGAAGCGTAGCGGGAACACGAGCAGGGGAAGCGCGAGGCGCCGCGGGAGCTCGGATGCTGACGGATCGGCGGACGAAATGCGTGAGAGCAGCGTAAGGCGCATCGGAAGCGCGGGTGCAAGTCGTGCAGCGGAGGAAAGGGGTGGGGGCAGCGCGAGGCGCCGTGGGAGCGCAGATGCAGAAGGTTCGATGGTCGAAATGCGCGGAAATGGCCCGAAGCGCCGCGGGAGCATGGATGCAGACAGTTCGGCGGGCAAAATGCCCGAGGACGGAGCGAAGCGGCGCGGAAGCGCGGATGCAGATTGCTCGCCAGGCAGGTGGCGCAGAAGTAATGCGCGGCGTGGCAAAGGCAAGGAGGCTGAGCACGCGCCAGAAGCCAGCCGCGAGGAAGAGAGGAGGCGAGGCGCGCAGGCGGTAGCGGATGGCTCGCCTGAACCGAGGCGCAGACACGAGCGCAGGAGGCGCATGGCATTTGGCGGTTGGCGATCACCAGAGCAGCGGGGAGAGGAAAGGGGGCAGCGGAAGGAGGAGGGGGAAGCGGGTGTTAGGGGCAGTGAGTGTTTGTCGCAGGACATCTCGGGGGCGGATGCGAGAGCGCGCCGTAAAGGAATAAAAGAGGACCCGTGCGCAAGAGCAGGGTTGGTGCAGGAACCTGACGGAGAGGCAAGGGGGAGACAAGAGAGAGAGAGAGAGACAGGAGAAGGGGTGAGCCAGGGCGCCGCCAGCGAGACGTGTCCCCAAGGGAGGACTCGGGAAGTGCCAAGAGAGGGGTAAGAGAAGATCATGGGCGCCGAGGGAGGCGGTGTCAAGAAGATTCCCCTGAGAGGAAGGAAGGGAGGGAGAAGACGAGAAGAAGTGATGAGGAGCTGTGTGAAGCGAAGGAACATGAGTATAGTGAAGGGGAGGAATATGGGTACTATAACCTGGAGTGGCGCCGACGCGGGAAGCAGGAGCGGCGTGAGAAGACGAATCACTCATCAGAGCAGCAGCGGGGGCGGGCGGAGGTGCAACAGGAAGTGCGCGGGGACGAGTTCACACCTGATCTACGTCGGCAGCGCGGAGGAGGGCGAAACCGAGAGTCGCGCTCGCCTTGTCCTCGTCGGCAGCGCGGAGAGAGGCGTGGCGAGCGGTCGCGCTCGTCAGATCTGCATCGGCCACGCGGAGGAAGACGGGACGAGTGGGCAAGGGAGAAGCTCTCGCTGGACCAGCAGAGAGGGCAAGCCGACGGGTGTTCAGGAGAGTGCAGGGAGGAGTTCTCCCCAGATCAGCGAAGGGAGGAGGGACGAGCGCACCAGGGCAGCGCGGGAACACGGCGACTGAAAAGCCCCCTGCAAAGAGAGGGAGTGGATCGCCGCGGAAGACGAGATGCAAGCAGCCGATGGAACCTGCATAAGGAAACGGGTCGAATGGAAGCAAAGGAGGAAGCAGGAACTCGGCGTATATCGCGGAGCGAGCGAGGGAGGCAAGGGAAGGGATGGAGAGAGCACGAGATAAAGAAGAGCAGGGAAGACTTAAATGTGAGCCGGCAGGCGTGGGCAATGGGCGGCGAATGAAGGTGTACGAACTGGGGGCAGACGCGACACTGGATGAGGTGTTCCAGTTAGCGGAGAAGATGGAGCTTTCGCAGGCGAAGTATGAAGCGTACCGGTCGCGAACGACAAAGAGGAGCCATGAACCGACATGGGCAGCAGCGATGACATCTGAAGATAGGGGAAGATCAGAGGGGCGAGGGGGTGGTGGGGCAGGCAACAGGACCTGCTACAGATGCGGACAGCTGGGACACTGGAGGAAAGAGTGCCCAGATGCATCGTGGTGTGAAAGCTACAGCAAGAAGAGACGTGAGGCGAAGGACGGCTACCAGCGGGAGGGGACAGCAAAGGGGAACCGGGAAGAGCTGGAACAGGAGCTCATCAGGCTGCAAGCACAGCTGTCGGCACTCAGACCAAGGCGGGAAGCAGAGGCAGGAACGAGCGCTAGGGATAAGGATGACGGGGAAGTAGAGCAGTATGTGCAGCGCGCATTCATGGCCTGGTGGGGAAGGGAAGAGATGGGACGACGGAGTGGAGGGAAGGACGGCCGGCAGGAGCACCGACAAATGGGAGGACAGACGGGGGCAGCAGGCAGAGGAGCAGACAACGAAGGACCTCGTGGCACGCCACCCGCAGGACGGGCTGGTAAGCCAGACCTCAGGACTGGGAGTGAGCAATGGGACGAGCAGGTGGGGGCAGGAGCGTGTGTACCAGCAGCAGTGGGAGCGGAGGAGCAGGACGAGCAGGTGGGGGCAGGAGCGTGTGTACCAGCAGCAGCGGGAGCGGAGGAGCAGGACGAGCAGGTGGGGGCAGGAGCGTGTGTACCAGCAGCAGCGGGAGCGGAGGAGCAGGACGAGCAGGTGGGGGCAGGAGCGTGTGTACCAGCAGCAGCGGGACCGGAGGAGCAGGACGAGCAGGTGGGGGCAGGAGCGTGTGTACCAGCAGCAGCGGGAGCGGAGGAGCAGGACGAGCAGGTGGGGGCAGGAGCGGGTGTACTAGCAGCGGCGGCAGCGGAGGAGCAGGACGAGCAGGTGGGGGCAGGAGCGAGTGTACTAGCAGCGGCGGCAGCGGAGGAGCAGGACGAGCAGGTGGGGGCAGGAGCGTGTGTACTAGCAGCGGCGGAAGCCGAGGAGCAGGACGAGCAGGTGGGGGCAGGAGCGTGTGTACTAGCAGCGGCGGAAGCCGAAGGGAAGAACGAGAAGGTGGGGGAATGGTCGGGTGTACCAGTGGCAGCGGAAGTGGAAGGGAAGGAAGGGAAGGTGGGGGCACAGGCGGGCATGACAGCAACAGCGGAAGCGGAAAGCAAGGCAGAGAGGCTGAGGGCACCGGCGTGTGCAGCAGCAGCAGCAGAAGAGGAAGGGAAAGAAGAGAAGTTGGGGGCACAGGCGTGTGCAGCAGCAGCAGCAGAAGAGGAAGGGAAAGAAGAGAAGTTGGGGGCACCGGCGTGTGCAGCAGCAGCAGCAGAAGAGGAAGGGAAAGAAGAGAAGTTGGGGGCACAGGCGTGTGCAGCAGCAGCAGCAGAAGATGAAGGGAAAGAAGAGAAGTTGGGGGCACAGGCGTGTGCAGCAGCAGCAGCAGAAGAGGAAGGGAAAGAAGAGAAGTTGGGGGCACAAGCGTGTGCAGCAGCAGCAGTAGAAGAGGAAGGGAAAGAAGAGAAGTTGGGGGCACAGGCATGTGCAGCGGCAGCAGCAGAAGAGGAAGGGAAAGAAGAGAAAGTAGCAGCAGCAGCAGAGGCGGGAGTGGAGGATGAGAAGGAGGGAGTATGGGCAGGTTGGACGGCGAAGGAAGGAGCTAAGTGGACGGTGGGGGGGGCAATGAGCGGGCAGGGGAGGGAAGTCACACTCGTGACGCAGACAGTGGGAATAGGAGGGATTGAGAATTGCGTGGCACGGGTAGAAGCCAGGGCAAAGTACCTAAAGGAAGTACTGCCGGCAGCTCGGGAGAACTTGCATACAGTGCAGCTGAGAGATGCACACAGGGAAGTGCAGCGGCTGCAGCCGGGCGGCAGCAGCGGCTGCAGCAGAACATGGGCAGGAGAAGGAGTGGGACAGGAGTCTACCTCTGGGGGGGATAGGAGCAGGGCTGGCAGCAGTGACAAGGCATGGGATCGCAGTAAAGCAGTGGATCTACCTGGAAAGGGAGCCCGTCGTGAAGAAGATGTCAGAGCACCATGCCGGGTGGCGGCTGTAGGAGAAGTCCCTAGAATTGTCGAGCAGGGAAGGGGTGCAAGAGGCGATGTGGAGACGGGATCCTGTTGGGAAGGACGTGACAAAGGCGGAAGCGGCAAGCTGGGGGCAGGCGGATTTATGGTAGCAGGGTGGGAGTGCCAGGGTGTTTCTCGAGCAGAGAGGGGGCTGGGAGAAAGGGGCCTTCGCACGGAGCAGTTAGAGAACCGGTTTCAGATCATGAAATGCTGCAGGAGAGGCAGGGCAGCATAGTGTAGTAGAATTTCTGGACAAAAAGGGGGGACAGCGCAGAGCCCACACGACCGGTGAGGGAGAGGATCATGCAGCAGATGGGACAAGGGGAGAGAGATGACACGGCAAGGGTGGGGGCATGCGCTCGTCTGCTCGGGACGTACTGGCAGAACTTGGTGCCCGCTCAAGGTCTGCAGGAGGACATAGACGGTGTGAGAAGGGCGTGGGAAATGAAGGTGCAGGACATTTTAGAGCCAGCAAGAACACCAGCGCCAGCGACTAGGAGGTGCTACAGCAAGCTTTACCCACGTCATCGGGTGGGACAGGAAACGCAGGCACCGTCGGCACGGGTCACGGATGAAGGGGCAGACGGAAAGAGCAAAGAAGGGAAGGCGGGACCTGGTATGGAGTATGATCCCAAGGAGGGCAGAAGGGCTTGGAGCGAGAGTTAGCCATGAGGAATGGAGAGAACATCACGGCAGCCCCAGGCGTGACTAAACTGGAAGGAAGGAGGGCGTTAGGGGAATGCAATAGATGAGCAGATGATGAGATCGTAGGCAGTACAGGGCCGGGTGCAGGTCGGAGGGAAAGTAGAGGCAGCAGCGGTCCCACAAGGAGCCTGGTCCAGCATGGAAGAGGAGAGTCCAGAGTGGAGGGTGGGAGAGACAAGGAGCGAAGAAGGGAAGAAGGTGATGTCGGCAATGCTAGCGAAACACAGGAGGCGCTTTGCCTACAGGAGAGGGGTAAGGGCACGGTAAAGCAGAGGGAGCTGAAGCGCAGCAGCAAACTGGTGTTCCACGGAAGGAGGAGATGGCCGCCGGAGGACAAGGAGATATGCAAAGGGAGAATTAGAGAGCTGTTGACAATGAAGGTGGCGCAGAATGAGGCCCAGGAGATTGGGGAACCAGCGAACATCTTGAGGGATGAGCAGGCCATGAAGTGGCAGAAGGGGGGGGGGAACTGAAGAAGAAGAGGCAGTGACAGAGAGAGGGCGAGTGAGGGGGGGGGACACCACTACAAGTGGTATGAAAAGGAGCTGCAGAGACAGAAAGATGATAGATGGAGGGTGATGCCCGCTCCAGGCGAGAGGAAGGCAGTAACCAAGGAAGTGCACACCAAGCAGGGGCACCTTGAACACGAGAGGATGGGGCAGCTGTTGAAGAAGGAATGGTGGAGGGAGGGAATGCGCAGGCAAGTGGAAGCGTGGGCGGAGAGTCGCGAGGCAGGGTGGAGGAGCGTGAAGGAGGCGCGTGAAGCTGGGGTGCTGGTGCTGGAGGATGAGAAAGAAGAACCGGTGAAGGCGCATCAGAGCAACACAGTAGTCAAAGGAACCGGGCCTCAGCAGCATGGTCCTGTTACCCGAGCTCAGGCAGCCCGAGCACGGGCACAGGAGGGGGCAGGTAGTGGCTGAGGCTAATCAACATCGTCAGGAGAAGGACGTTGAGGGAGTGACAAGAAGAAGAGCAGGTTACAGGGATGAGAGCATGGGCTGGGAGAAGGAAGGTTCTCCGACAGCTGTCACCGCATATGTACCTAATGCATATGCAATAACAGTAGGATGATGGTGTAGGCAGGGCTCTCGGTTGCAACCATGAACAGGATAGATAGTTCTAATAGTATGAGATAGGAATGAGCTGTAGGTCTAAATGGTAGCGAAGCAGCTGTTAGAGAGGGGTGTAGAAAGGGGGGGGAAACGGGATAGGAGCGGTTGGATTAGGAGGGAAAAGACACCGAAGGGCGAAAGGTGAAACCAAGGAATCCCAACCCGAGCCGCACATTTGGAAATGTGCAGCCAGGGGAAGGGTAAGGTCTCTCACTCCCAACCCCTCGTTGCTTTTCTACTGTTATTCTATCATATTAGTGAAAGCTGTTACCTTAGATCTAGCATCCGGTGGCACGCCACTAGGGGAGGACCTACGGGGTGAGGGAGGAGACTCTTTCACGGTAGTGGCTGAGGCTAATCAACATCGTCAGGAGAAGGACGTTGAGGGAGTGACAAGAAGAAGAGCAGGTTACAGGGATGAGAGCATGGGCTGGGAGAAGGAAGGTTCTCCGACACGACAGGCCACTTGGTCCTACCGATCCACTGGTCCAACAGGCCAGTTGGTCCAACCGGCCCATTGTATCAACGGGACAGTTGGTCAAACCGGTCCATTGGTCCGACAAGCCAGTTGGTCCAACCGGTCCACTGGATCGACAAGCCAGTTGGTCCTACCGATCCGCTGGTCTAACATGCCAGATGGTCCAACAGGTCCATTGCATCAACATGACAGTTGGTCCAACCGGTCCACTGGTCCAACAGGCCAGTTGGTCTAACCGGTCCACTGGACCGACAGGCCAGTTGGTCCTACCGGTCAACTGGTCCAACAGGCCAGTTGGTCCAACTGGTCCGTTGTATCAACGAGACAGTTGGTCCAACCGGTCCACTGGACCAACAGGCCAGTTGGTCCTACCGGTCCACTGGTCCAATAGGCCAGTTGGTCCAACCTGTCCATTGTATCAACAGGACAGTTGGTCCAACTGGTCCACTGGACCGACAGGCCAGTTGGTCCACCCGGTCCACTGGTTCAACAGGCTAGTTGGTCCAACCGGTCCACTGGACCGACAGGTTAGTTGGTCCAACCGGTCCGCTGGTCCAACACGACTGTCGGTCCAACCGGTCCACTGGACCGACAGGCCAGTTGGTCCTACCAGTCCATTGGACCGATAGGCCAGTTGGTCCAACCGGTCCATTGTATCAACAAGACAGTTGGTCCAACCGGTCCACTGGTCTAACAGGCCAGTTGGTCTAACCGGTCCACTGGACCGACAAGCCAGTTGGTCCTACCGGTCAACTGGTCCAACATGCCAGTTGGTCCAACTGGTCCGGTGTATCAAAGAGACAGTTGGTCCAACCGGTCCACTGGTCCAACAGGCCAGTTGGTCCTACCGATCCATTAGACCGATAGGCCAGTTAGTCCAACCGGTCCACTGGACCGACGGGCCAGTTGGTCCTACCGGTCCGCTGGTCCAACATGCTAGTTGGTCCAACTGGTCCATTGTTTCAACGGGATAGTTGGTCCAACCGGTCCATTGGACTGACAGGCCAGTTGGTCCTACCGGTCCATTGGACCGACAGGTCTGTTGGTCCAACCGGTCCATTGTATCAACGGGATAGTTGGTCAAACCGGTCCATTGGTCCGACAGGCCAGTTGGTCCAATAGGTCCACTGGACCGACAAGGCAGTTGGACCTACCGGTCCACTGGTCCAACAGGCCAGATTGTCCAACCGGTCCATTGTATCAACGGGACAGTTGGTCCAACCGGTCCACTGGTCCATTAGGCGAGTTGGTCCAACCGGTCCACTGGAACGACAGGCCACTTGGTCCTACCGATCCACTGGTCCAACAGGCCAGTTGGTCCAACCGGCCCATTGTATCAACGGGACAGTTGGTCAAACCGGTCCATTGGTCTGACAAGCCAGTTGGTCCAACCGGTCCACTGGACCGACAAGCCAGTTGGTCCTACCGATCCACTGGTCTAACATGCCAGATGGTCCAACAGGTCCATTGTATCAACATGACAGTTGGTCCAACCCGCAATGTACCACGGGAACGGACGCCGGAGCGAGACGCGGTGGACGTGGAGGACGCGGAGGACGCAGAGGACGCGGACGACGCGGAGGAGGAACCAGAGGGGCCATACAAGGAGGCGGATGTGGAAGGGGCGGATGAGGCGCAGCCAGGGGGAACCGGCGAAGCGGAAACCACGCCGGCGGAGGGACAGGCAGAGACGAGTGAGGCGGCAGCTGCAAGGTCGGAGGCCCTGCTGTCGGGAGCGCGCGAGCGAGAGGGTCCCCACGGGGGGGGCCGGCACGCGGCGGACTCCAGACTGCGGGAGCGGGGGACACCGGGAAGAGACGATCGAGCGGGGCAGGCGCCGAGCCCGCGCCGCAAAGGGAAGGCGGAGAGGTCACGCTCGCCGGAGAGGGAGCGGCGCCGCGAGGAGTGGCGCGTGGGCGAGCTCCGCCCGCACGGCGAGCGCCAGGAACATGGGGAGTGGAGCGGTGGCGCCGCGCATTCGGCGGGACGATGGCAGCCGCGGGGTGAGAGGAGGCAGGTAGCGGAACCTGCGTCGCCGAAGCAGCACGGTCAGCAGCAAGGGGGGCGCAGCAGCATCAGGCGCTCGCCAGGAGGGACGGGGCAGAGGGAGCGGAGAGACAGGAGTTGGTCCCGCTCGCCCGCTGGACGTCACGCGCGGAGGGAGAGGCACGACGGGGAGCAACGGTCACCAGAACGGCGCCAGTCGCGCACTTGGCAGGAGCACCTGGACACGTGGTCACCATCACCAGAGAGGCGGCCGCGGCACGAGACGGGCAGGTGGGAGGAGCGGGAGGCGCGCGTGCCGCCGACGCCGCAGTGGGGACGGACAGAAGGGCGGGGAGGATCGTGGGAGAGGCGGAACGAGTCCGGAGGGAGCCGTCAAGAGGGCAGGACAGGGAGCGGAACCTTGGCGCAGGGAGCAGAGCGGGCACGGGAGGCCAGAGAGGGCATGCTGAGGGCACGGGAGAGGGGACCAGAGGGAAGGCGGACAGACGGGGCCAGGGAATCATGGGGAGAGGGGCGGGGGGGTGGCACCGGCACCCCGCGGGTGGAGGTGCCCGCCAGATTCTCAGGCGACCAACGAGCAGGGCCGACCCTCAAGAACTACCTCATGCAGGTGGGGAATGTGTGGTACCGCTGCGACCGGCATCACATGGACCCAGTGGACTTCTTCTTGAGCCTGCCGAACACCCTGGAGGGAGAGGCCGAGACGCTCTACCGCATGAGGATGGAGGAGCTGCTGTGGAGGGCGGGGAGGTACGGCGAGGATCCCACCGAGGCCTTTTTTGAGCGGTTGCAGCGGCAGTTCCCAGGGCACACGGCGGAGCGCATACGGGAGTTCCAGGAATTCAGCAGGGGTAGGACTGAGTCACTGCTGACCTACTACAACAGGCTGCTCAATGTGGCGGAGGACGTGAGGTGCACGGACGGAAGTCTTCTCATCAGCAAGTTCCTAAGGGGCCTGGACGAGGCCCTGGGAGGGGGGCTGAGGATGAGAGTGTACGAGCTGGGGGCAGACGCAAGCCTAGAGGAGGTGTTCGCTCTGGCAGAGAGAGTGGAGCTGGCACAGCGGAAGTTTGAGGCGTATCTCCCCAGGCCAGCGGAGAGGAGCAGGCGGCCCACATGGGCGGCGGCAATGATACCAGGAGGAGGAGGGAGGACAGAGGGACGGGGGGAGACAGGGACAGACACCAGGACATGCCACAGGTGCGGACAGCCAGGACATCTGCGCAGGGATTGCAAGAATTGTGACGGGTGTGGGAAGCCGGGGCACAGGAAGCGGGAGTGCCCAGAGGCACCCAGGTGCGAGATCTGCAAGAGGCAAGGACATGAGGCGAGGGATTGCTACCAGAGGGAAGGGGGTGGTAGGAGGCCTCCAGAGGAGCTGCAGCGGCAGATTAGCAGGTTGCAGGCACAGCTAAGGGCGACCGGGCTGAAGGGGGAGGCGGAGGCAGGGATGTACGCGGGGGACGGGGGAGGAGAGGAGGTGGAGCAGGATGTGCAGTGCGCTCTCATGGCGTGGAGGGGGAGGGAAGAGATGGGGTTGAGAAGCGGAGGCAGAGATGGCAGGCGGGAGCAGGGGAGGAAGGAACAGGTGAAGGGAGGGAAGCCAGCCGAACCAGCCCTAGAGCCGGCCCCCGCGCGCCATCCTCAAGAGAGGCTGGCGTGCCAGACCTCGGTGCTGCTGGTCGAGAAGGGAGCCATGGAGGTGGAGGGAGAGAAGGTGAGGACGGCCATCATAGACACGGGGGCACAGAGCGTGATGCTGGGCAAGGGGATGGCTGAGAGGCTGGGATTGCTGGCGCCAGAGAGGCACGTGGCGAAGGGGATGCTAGTGATGACAGCGGAGGGAGGGGAGCCGAAGTGGATGCCGTGTACGCGGACGCCCATAGAAGTAACGCTGATGCCGGGGGGGGAACACGAGACTAAGATCCGCATGAAGTGCGGGATTTCCGAGTCGGAGGACTTTGACGTGTTAGTGGGAACCGAGCTGGTGTATGCGGTGGGGATGACCATATGCACGTGGACGGAGAAGGTCGAGTTCAGGACCAGGTACTGGAAAAGGGGAGGGCCGCTTGGAGAGCTGCCAGTGCGATTTGTGAAGGTGGAGCCGAAGAGAGCATATCAGGCCGTGGGGGAACGGCGGTAGGGGGAGCTGGGGGGGCTGTCAGGGATGGGAAGGGCGCCCAAGATGAGGGGGATGGACAAGGCACAGGAGCAGAGTGACTGGCAGCAGCCCATCCACCTGGTGGAGCTGTTTGGGGGGATAGGGGCAGGGCTGTCCGCAGTGGTGAGGAATGGGATAGCAGTGAAGAGGTGGACATATGTGGAGAAGGACCCCGGGGTGAGGAGGATGGCGGAGCACCATGCCAGGAAGTTGCAAGGGGAGTTTCCGGAGCTGCTGAGTGAGGAAGTGATCAGCAGGGCGATGGGGGGGACGGTCCATGACGTGACAGAGATAAGTGAGGCAGCGGTGGCGAGCTGGGGGCAGGTGGATCTGCTGGTGGCAGGGTGGGAATGCCAAGGGGTGTCTTGGGCAGGCAAGGGCAGGGGAGGAGATGATGACAGGACAGGGTTGCTGGAGGACCTGTTCCGAATTATGGGGTGGCTGCAGGAGAGGCAGGGCAGGGTGGTGTACTTGCTGGAGAACCTGGACCTGGAGGGAGATAGCAGGGAGCCAATCCGGTTGGTGAGGGACAGAATCAAGGGGCAGCTGGGGGAAGGGGTGAGCTGTGATGCGGCCAAGATGGGATCCTATGCGCATAGGCTCAGGATGTACTGGCAGAATGTGGTACCTGCCGCGCAGCTGCAAGCAGAGATAAAGGGGGTGAGGCGAGCGGCAGAGAGGAGGGTGCAAGATATATTGGCACCAGGGCGGACACCAGCACCGGTGTGTCGCAAGAGCTACAGCAGGCACGAGCAGTGCAACCAGGTGGGGCAGGAAAGGCGGGCTCTGCCCACGCTGGTGGCATATGTGGGGGCAGCAGGGTACAAGTGGGAGGCGGGGAAGCCTGGGCCAGGGATGGTGTATGACCACAAGAGGGGAAGATGGGAGGAGCCCACGGCACTGGAGCGGGAGCTAGCTATGGGGTATGGAGAAGACACAACAGCTGCGCCTGGGCCCTGGGGAATGCCATGGATGGCCACGTGATGAGGTGGCTGATCCAGCGAATGTGGCGGGAGACGGTCGTGAGCTGGGGGCAGGCGGAAGAAAAAGGGGGGGTTGAGGCGGAGCCACGGGGTGCATGGAGCTGCAGGGAAAAGGAGGAGGAGAGCTGGGTGGTGGGAGAGGCAATGAGCAAAGAGGGGGGGGAGGCGATGCAGGAGCTGCTCGCCAGGCACAGGAAGTGTTTTGCTTTCACCATGCAGGAACTGGGGAGGTGCAAGGTGAAGGAGATGGAGCTGAAGCTGAGCAGCACTGAGCCAGTATTCCAGCGCAGGAGGAAGATGCCGCCGGGAGATGAGGAGATTTGCAAGGAAAAGATCAAGGAGCTGCTGGAAGCGGGGCTGATCAGGAGATCGGAGTCCGAGTATGCTACGCCGACAGTGGTGGCAGCCAGGAGGGATCTGACAGGGGAGGTGCTGAGCAGGAGGATGTGTGGAGACTACAGGGCACTCAACAAAATCACCGTAGCAGACAGGTATCCGATGCCGATGGCGGAGGAGATCTTTGACAAATTGGCGGAGGGGGTGTTCTTCACGACGCTGGACCTGCGGCAGGGGTTCAACCAGATCAAGATCCGGGAGGAGGACGTCAGAAAGACAGCCTTTCATGGGCCAGACGGGCTGTACGAGTGGTTGTACATGCCGTTTGGATTGCGGAACGCATCAGCAGTGTTCCAGAGGGTCATGGACAGTGTGCTGAGGGGAGTGGAGTGCGCGGCCTGCTACATTGATGATGTGGTGATTTTCAGCACCACAGAGCAGCAGCACCTAGAGGATGTGGAGCGGACCCTAGCGGCGATTGAAGCGGCGGGACTCACTTGCCACCCGAAGAAGTGCAAGTGGGGGGAACAGACAGTGCAGTATTTGGGGTACGAGGTGAAAGGGGGACAGATAGGGATCCAACAGGCCAAGGTGGAAGTCCTAGACAGGCTGCGGGAGCCAAGGGACAAGTCAGGGCTGAGAGCGGTGCTAGGCTTCTTGAGCTACTACAGGCGCTTTGTGCCCAACTTCAGCAAGAGAGCAGCGGTGTTGAATGGGCTGCTGCGAGAGGACAAGGCGTGGGAGTGGGGAGAGGCGCAGAAAGGGGCACTGCAGGACCTGATGGCAGCAGTGAAGACCGCCACAGTACTCAAGCTGCCCGCCGCTGACCAGCCGTTCACACTCTACACCGACTGGAGCAGCCAAGGAATGGGGGGGATCCTCTGCCAGGAGGTGGAAGGAGAGGAGAAGGTAGTGGCATACGCGAGCAGAAGCTGCAACTCGGCCGAGGCACAGTACAGCTCCTACATAGGAGAAGGGTTGGCAGCCGTATGGGCAGTGGGACATTTCAGGGTGTACCTGCAGGGGAGGGAATTCACCTTAGTGACAGACCACCAGCCCCTGACGTGGCTGATGTCAACCCCGGGGCTAACGGGCAGGAATGCAAGATGGGCGATGAAACTGCAGGAGTATGACTTCAAGATCAGGCACAGGCCAGGAAAGACCCTGCAGCACATAGATGGCCTCTCTCGGAACCCCCCACCGCTCGAGCCCACTGCGACCTTGACGATGCTGGCCAGGTTGGTGGAGCAGAACGGGGCCAAGGAGGGGAAGGGGCCAGCAGATATCTGGGAGGACGGACCGGCCATGCGGTGGGTGAAGGGAGAGACGGGAGAGGACGAAGCACTGCCCGCACGAGTGAGGGCAAGGGGCCAGCACTACAGGTGGTACCAGCAGCAGCTGCAGGTACAGACAGAGGACGGATGGAAGCTGGTGCCGGCCCCGAGGGAGAGAGAAGCGGTGATTAAGGAGGTCCACAACAAGCTGGGGCACTTTGGGCACGAGAGGACGGTGCAGCTGTTGAAGACCGGCTGGTGGTGGGAGGGGATGCGGAGGCAAGTGAAGGAGTGGGTGGAGGGCTGTGAGGCATGCCAGAGGAGCCGAGCCAACCTCTCCCAAGCCAAGGCGGAGCTGCAGTCGCTGCCCATCAGAGGACTAGGCTTCCGATGGTCCTTAGATCTCGCGGGGGAGCTGCCGCTGAGCCGGGGAGGGAAGCAGTACATAGTGCTCATGGTTGAGCATGTGAGCAAGTGGCTGGAGGTGAGAGCGATCCCGAGTAAAAGCTCAAGACATGTAGCAGCAGCGTTCAAAGAACAGGTGGTGTGCAGGTTTGGGGCATGTGCGGAGGTCCTCACAGACCAAGGGACAGAGTTCCAGGGGGAGTTTAAGAAGCTGCTGGAGGAGACAGGGATCACGCACAGGCGTACATCGCGGTACCACCCACAGAGCGATGGGCTGACTGAGCGACTGGTGCAGACACTGAAGCGGGGGCTGCGGGCATACGGGGAGAAGAGGAAGCGGGACTGGGACGAGGAGCTGCATATGCAATAACAGTTGAAGGATGGAACAGGGTGGGCTTGACATGACAATGATAGGATAATGAGTTAGTTATATGTATGTGAAACAACAAGTAGGAATGGGTGTAGGGGGGAATATAGTACTGTTGGGAAAGGGTGTAGAAGGGGGGAAATGGGATCGTGGCGGTTGGATTTGGGAGGGAAAAGGCCTCGACAGGCGAAACCTGCCAAAACTGGTAACACCCCACCCGAGCCGCACATGTGGAACGTGCAGCCTGGGGTGGGGTCATAGGCTGCTCCCTCCCATCCCCTCCTTGCTTTCTAGTGTGTAATTCTCTCGAACTAGTGAATCTGGTTGTCTCACGCTCTAGCACACGACAGCACGACACTAAGAGGGAACCTACGGGGTGGGGGACGAGACCCTTTCATTACACACTAGAAAGGCGCGTACGGAGGCTAGGCTCGAACGAGATGGATAAGCACGAACTGCGTTGGGTTAGGGCGTATAGCCGACGGGAGGAAGAGCG